GGGGGGGGCTTTCAAGAAACCCTACCATATTTTCATAGGTTATACCAATATTAATTCATTGTTGGACTTGTTTGTATTGCAAATATTTGCATTAAGATACAATATTATTGAGTATCTGTGTCAATTCTTACTTTCGTATTGTTAACGATACAATATTTACTGTTTTTGTTTATTTCTCTAATAAATAGATAAGAGAAAAAAGCATGCTGAAATTCTGACTAGATATTTCTTTAGGTTAAAGTCTAAAATTAAAATACTCGTGCTTCTTGAGAGCCATATGCATATGAAAAGTCATCATAATCACACTAAAAAACCTGACAACTTCTACGTTTCAAATTAAGAGTGGCTACCCATGTTCTTATATAGGGCTGGCCTGGTTCGGTCTGGAGCCAACCCTATCGAGGGGCAAAATCGTGCTTGGGTGTCAAAATCTCGAGCTGGCTCAATATGTCCCGCTGACCCCCCAAATTTTTCTAAGTCCATCTAGTTATTGGGAAATTGGCCCTGGCTAGAATCAACCTCTGCCTGATCCCCTTTATTATCTTGTCTTAATGCTGTTAGTTTTTATTTCAAGAAATGCCAATGTATTGTAAACATATAAAAGCACCTTCCAAACTCTAATTCGACAATTGTCATTTCGCAAAAATAAAAATTTATAAAGGACCTGAGTAACAAAGTTGAATCAACCAGGAAAATGAAAAACTACACGGATAATATTACATATTCTCAGAGAGTAATATGCCAGTCAATGTGATAAAATACTATACAAATCCACTTTCCTTTATTGAATTTATTAACTTGCATTTTACAATGGATTACAAAGTAATCCTAAACCTGTGATTTGACATATGAATGCTGGATTGATAACTTAAAGAGAGCTAAACGAAGTGTTGGTATAATTCTCCTTATCAGATGTCCAGATTTCTAACTAGTACTTTAATACCTTAATAAGCGTGATAACCTCGTACAACAATGGCTGCTTAATCCCCATAAATAAATTTCACATTTATGCCTCGGAAATTCTTCTGCACTAGTCCTGATTATGCTGCATGGTAGTTTAATTTATTTTCAAGCTTCGTAAAGCATTCCAACCTCGATGCGCTGTGGGGGTGGCACACACAAAGCAGGAAGTGCAGGCCGACAATTACTGTGTAAAACTTCATAGAATGCAAGCATAATTCTGTCAAACCAGCTACACTTCTTACCCATGAGAAACCTCGTCTTCCCATGAACATGAACCACGCCTGCAAGCTTTGCGTCCTCCAAATCAGAAATTTCATCATCATCTGAGGAAATAAGAGCTTCTTCATCTGGACAGTTGCTTATATGATCTCGTAAGACATCAGTGACTTGAGTAACAAAGTCATATCCTTCAAGACATAGCGAATCTGCATAGCCATACTGCATTATACACCTATACATCCCCTTGAGCCCCAATTTCTTGACAACGATCCTTTCATGTGGTGCAACTTTAGGAACCAACAAATACCGAAGAGTGGTGAAAATTGTAACTTTGTGGAGAGATTTCATATTCTTTATATAGTGACCCAGAATCGGCGATAGCCCATCTTGAATGTTGGTATAGAAGAAGCAAAGTCCTGGAACCCTATGGACCCCAGGATCTGAAAGCAGCAAATTAAGCCTGTCCAAGTCTATCTTATGTGTTACCTCATATTCAATCTTTCTCTGCCTTCCATAGAACCAACCAAACATTATGAAAGCAAGGATAAAAGATATGGCAAAGGGAATCCATCCACCTTCTGGTATCTTCGTAAAAACAGCACTCACGTAGACACCTTCCATCACAAAAAATGTGATGAAGTAAAGAGCAGTAAGAATTGGCGGAGTTCTCCATATAATAATCATCACTAGTGTCAGCAAAATAGTGGTGATAAGCATTACCATGCTTACAACAACACCTGTAAAAGATTCTATCCGAATTAGTAAATGCACAAAGATAAATAAATAAATAAATAATTGTTCAATTGATTACACAAAACAAACAATAAACTAAGCCTTTCTCAATAAATTTGGGCCAGCTGCATGAATCCTTTTTTGCCACCAAGCTCTATCCATTACAATATCTATTGGATTATCCAAAGTACCTAGATTCTTAGCAACCAGAATTGGGCCGTGGGGATCATGTTGGCTGTTTATACAGCTTTGTGGACCTGTAATGTGTGGAAATAACAGCAGAAATGCACCAGCAGCAAGAAGGGAAGAAGCTGGACGATAAACCAGTAATGCAGGGGAAAAACAAAGGTGCTGGGAAAGTCTGGGAAGAAGGAAAAAACGTGAGACAGCAGCAGGTGCAAATCTAAATTTTTTTTCATACATAGTACAGCAGCCTTTTTTACATTATAAAATGTAAAATTTTAACCTACTACAATACATAAAATCAACCCTACACTTGTCTATTTTACAGCCCTTGGATTAGACAAAATAAAGAAATATTTCTTTGCCTTTCTAAACACATTACACATCAACATATCACATCATTCTCTTATGAGCAGGAGAGATATATCCCATGTTCTTTTTCTTCCCTTTCTTGTTTTAACACTTAGCAATAGATGTTTAACTATGATAATGAAGATTAGAAATCATAAAAAGGAAAATATGTTTGAAATTAGATTACACTAATATTTCTATGTTAAATATAATGGTGCTCGGAAGATCATAGAAATTATAGTTATAACAGTAACTACAAGTCTCTTAGAGTGGAATCATTTCATCTTACCAAATGCATTTCCAATATCTTTTCCATCTCCAAATATCAGTATTACAGCAACACATAAGATCATGAGAATGAAATTGACTTCTGGGGAGTAAACTTCTCCTTCTTTGCTAGGGGATGTGTGGACTACCTTGACACGAGGAAAATAATCTAGTACCACAGATTGTTTGATCACAGAGAAAGTGGCAGAAATTAAAGACTGACTTGCAACTATTGCTGCCAGTGTGGCTATGGCAAATAAAGGCCAGTACACTGCTGATGGTATAAATTTGTAAAACCCATCATCATGATCATTTGGATGTCTAATCAAGTAAGCAGTCTGTCCAGCATATGTTAACACCAGTGAAGGATATATGGCAAAGAGAAATGCTATCTGTAGGAAACTTAGATGTTAAGAAAAATAGAACACGAGTACTCACATAAGCTCAATAGTTATAATTTACTTCACCTGAATGGAACTCCTGTTGAAATGACCAAGATCAGCAAACATTGCTTCAGAGCCTGAGTATTAGACAATTATTGAAGTACAAATCCATAAAACACCGGGTTGTGACACAATCCTAAATTACGCAATTATATTTGGAATAATTTAGGCAGTACATATTATTTCATTTTGTTGTAATAGTTATTAGGTATTAGATTTTAAGAAAGTTTTTCGTTTGTTATTTTTGTTAATTGTGGCTTTGATTTAACCCTACATGTAATAGGATTTTAGTGTCCCACCTGTAGTAGGAGGGTTTCCAACCACGGTTGGAATAGAAGCTAAAAGCCGCCTCCTTGTGTTCATATATAAGGAGCTCTTCCCTTTGGATTTCTTCCATCCGAACTTGAGTGATAGTTAGAGAGAGCTATCTTTTGGTGAGACTTTGAGTTTTACTTAGTCTTGCACAGTTCATGTTTTGGGGTGTTCAAATATTGGAGTACAAGGTACTCTTGAGAAAGTGCTTTGAAAATTCAACATGGACAAGATTAAAGTTGTCAGATCTCCTCTTATGAGTTCCTAAAATGGGAGTTACATTCTAGAGGTCCATTTTTGCATTCTGGAAGGCATAGAACTATTTTCATTGTGAAAGATACATTTTATTGTTCTTTTTACGCAAGATCAGTGTTGCTCGTGTTGTCTCCTAGTCTTGCACTTGTCAATTAGGAAAGGCCAGGAAACAAAACAAAATAAGAATATATACTCTCCACCTCCTATTCTGCATGCCCTTGGTGTGATCTTAACCCAGACTTCGTCCAAACCAAAAACTGCTAGAAGTCATGATTTAACTTATACTCAACACTCTTTCAATCAGGAACTTTTCTGCACACCAATAGAGCGAGCACCTAGTTTGCCAACTAACACTGAGTCTACAACAGATGTTAAGTTTGTTACCCAGTTTCGGATATTTGGATACCTTGAAAAAAGTTTCTCCATCTTGACCTGCGTTTTGGACAAATATTTGTATTCTATATCACTATTCATACACAGACTAGCAACTGGTGAAAATGATGCAGATCCCAAATTATTAGTGTAACTAGAACGTGGATGCTATTATATTTTCTTGCCGTAACTATTGCTCTTCAGTCTTGAGTTCTAAGAAAGTATTTTATTCGTTATTTACTTTCACTAAAAAAATATTCTAGTAAGTTTCGTATTCATGTTACATTTTTTACTTTACTTTTATTGTGCAATAACTCGTGCATTCATTACAGAGATTTTCTCTATAGATTGTTCTCCGAGCTCCTCCAATCTTATTCTCCCCTTCTCCATTCTCCACCAGGATCACTGGTTCATCTAATTTTCTTTATTACTATGAAGTAATAAAGAATCGGTATAACACCAAAATACAAACCTGGAAAAAGCTTCATCTTTGTGCAAGAAAGTAACTCCACATTGTAGATTTAAAATGATTTCATAAATTCATTGAGTATTTTTATGATCTACTGTTCCAAATTTGTCACTGAATGCAGATAAAGTAAGCATAAATTTCAAAAAAAAAAAAAAAGGAAAGAAAAAAGAAATTTGGAGGGATTCAATTTGATAGTCACTCACCTGTAATACAAAGGACAGTACCACCAAGGGCTAGCCAGCCTTCTTTTCCATTTCTCAAGAAGTAACTGAAGAGGTAATGGGGTGATATAGCCTTAAATATGCTGGGGTAATGCTTTATGATGCTATATATTCCCACCATAGGAGTAAACAAAGTCCATGCTCCCATGATAGGGGAAAAAAGGAAACTCACTCGTGAGGTCCCAAACCTCTGGAGCAGGAACAGAAGAATTAGAGTAAATGCTGAAAGGGCTTCAACCCATGCTTCAAGTCATAAAATGAAAAGGATTATTAGTTAAATTGACAAAAAAAAATTTGTTTGCCTACAAACAGGTCTTATTAAGCTTTTTTAACTATTTCTGGGGCTTAAGAATAACTATGAAAATTATATGGGTGCATGATACATTAGTTCATACTAGGCCATGCCTTAATTTCTGCACAATACTTACTTTTGCTGACTGAGGGAAAAGGTGCTCTAATGCCATCCATTGCTGACAACACTGTTTGGGAGGAGAAACTTATTTAAATCATATGGAATGAACACTGATAGGCTAAAATAAATCTATTGTGACAACATTATGTACACAGCAACAAACCTGATATTGCAGGAGTAAGTATGCCATCACCGATTAGCATGCTCATCCCCAAAATTGCAACAAAGAGCAACACCCTTCTAGAAACCAAGCTTCTCTCAAAAAATTTACCAAGCCTACTCTGCCTATCAGATTCCCCAAACGGATTGGTAGATAAGAGGCTTGAATTTGACTCCATCTGTTTGGAAGTATGAATGCCAATATTTATATGCCTACAAAGTAGTGAGTAAAGGGCGAAGGTTCCACCTGGAAAACGACCAATTTTCCAATATTCAGCACAATAATATACTGATAAAATAAGTTATGATATGGTCTTCATATAGTATAATCCAGAATCAGAAAAGATTTGATAGAAAATGACAAAACGTTGAAATTAGGATTAGCGGGTCACATAATAAGCTATCAAACTCACAGTTGATTTTTGAAGATCTATAGTACTATTGTTGTCATGTCAAGAGTTTATCAGAATACAGGGCCTGAGACATTCAAATTTCTACAAAAATATGAATGATCTAACAAGTATCGCCTGATTCGCATGCAATTTTTTGCGTCTTCTAGATAACAAAACTTGGACTCCATAATATTAATAGCCATACATAAATGTTTTGAAGTTTCTTTATTCTTTTCTAAGTGAAGCATGTATCATTTATCTATCTCTTGGATCTTTCATTTGAACCTATTTTGAGCCTCTCCGAAAATACTACTATAGATTCAAATATTACAGACAATATGAGGAGTGTAGTGACATGTCAATCAACCTCCAAACATATATGAGGAGTGTAGTGACATGTCAATTAAAAGATTAGTCCTTACAATTAAGCTCTAGAAATATGGAGCAGACTGAAAGCATGTTTGGGAGTTGTTTACAATCAGTTTAAATTGTAAATAGATAAAAATTAGCGGTGAAGAAGTGGATAATAATTATGAGTCCAACAAAATGAAGCCCCTGTTTGACCCCCATTTTGGGGGGAAAGTGTGTTTTAAAATAGTGATTTATTATTTTTTTTTTTTGGAGAATGTGTAGTTAAAAATAAGGAAAAGTTTTGAATTTATATATAGAATTATTTTATGTGAGAATATGTAGCTGAAAATGAATTTTGAAAAAATGGAGTCCAAATAGGGAGGAAATGTGTATATAATACGTGATTTGACCAATTATAAACAAATGTCAATTAAGAAATGAATAAAGTAACTGTAATTTACAGCTAGAATCATGTCTTCTTAATTAGCACGAGGAAAATATCATCCCTTCCGTATGTGAAATTAATCTCAGAAGATGTACATATATAGTGTTATATACATCCTGGCCAAACTAGGTAGCATTAAGTAATGAAGGCTTCATACATATGAAGTGAAGACAGATGATGTAAAAAAATACTTTTAGCATGATATATTTAGTTCATATATTCAGCATGCAAGACTAGTCAGGAGTGAATGCTTCAAACAAGATGGTGTGGTTAAAAGCATGATATATTAAGCTCAAAATCTTATAAACCACACACTACAGAATGGGAAAAAGAAAAATATAATATAGTATTTACATGGATTTCCAAGACAATAAATGAAGTAAATTAATTGTATTGAACAAAGATCAAAAATCAAGCAATCAACTAAGAAAGAAGAGTCAATAACTGGTTATTACATTGTTATGTCGTATTGAATAAACACCTTGTCTAAAAGAGGCTTTCAGATAAGAGGATCATTTATACATTAGAGCAATCAAAAGCCATGGGCTCAAGCCTTACTACCACTGCACAGTGCATTCTTAATAAAATTTCACGTGTTCAGCAGCGACAAAGTGATGACGTATAGATAAGTAATACATTTCTCCCTCCAATCACTGTAAACATTTCAATGAGGTGGTCTTTCAAGTATCAATGAAAGCAAAACATCTTTGTTTTAAGTCTCTCCACGAGCCATTTATAAGATGCACGTGTAAGTCGTTTGCATAAAAAATTTGGCCTTCATGCTATGAGTCTTTTGAAGATATAAACAAAAATATCTAATACCTCCCCATCCTATTTGTTTAAACTTTTAAATGGGTTGTCATTCAAGATCATAAACTAGTACATCAATGAATACCAAATACAGTAGAAAATTGAAAACCACTCCCATTCCTCTCGATTGAGAAAATTAGTCAGTGTGCCACACCTATTTCTTAAAAAGCTAGGGCTTTCCCTAAATGAAAATAGTTTACAGAGTTGATGTGGTTTGATTCTTTCTTTATTTATCTAATCTCTCTCATAGAGAAGTTCTTACCTTTGCATTTGATGTAGAGCATGCTCAGCGTCGCTTAAAAGTAAGTCAAACTTACTTTCAAATTACTTATTTTGCCACACTTAATTTTGAAAATTAACTTTTACAAACAAAATGTATTTTCTAAAAGTGCATTTTCATATACTTTCTAGAGAACTAACTTTTAGACACTGTCAAACATGCTCTTAATCTTGAAACTTTAGCAGGCACTAGAAACAAAGAAGATATACAGCTCCTTGTATACCTTCACCCTGATCATCGGCTTTGAGAGCAATGCTAGCATATTTGACAACACCAATCAAGCTAAGAGTCCAGAACATTATGCTATATATTCCCAAGTAATCATCTTCAGTGGGAGATTTCAATGGCATTGATGGATAAACATAAAGTGGTGATGTAACCAGCCCGCCAAAGACAACACCCAACGTCTTGAAAGCAAGTACTAGGTTTTCTTTTAGTCCAATTACCTAAAGTTGGAGAAAAGGTTTCAAAAAGAAACTAATTAGAGAGAGAACAGACAAAACAATCTGCAATGGATACAGAGAATTGGGAATAATATAAATCTTTAGCGTAAACTTTGACAATTCTCATACGTAGTAGTTGTCCAAATTCAACATAGTTAATCATAAAAGTTAAAATAGATGACCATCGATGCATAAAGAAAGTTTTATGCTATATGTTCCTACTTATAATTATCAGGAGTATTTGAACTTTTGAACCACTTAAATATTTCATGTACCATGCTATAAGAAAGAGTGTTTTCTCAAGTATCCAGAATATAAAAAATGCGTGCTTTCTATATGTTTGCATGACATTCCTTAGTTTAAAAACATAGGCTGCATTTCGGACCTCCATAGATATTTTGACAAAGTTGTACACTCAATTAATCAAAAATCTTAAGCCAACACACATTCATAGAAATGACAGGAAGACCGCATGCGTGTGTATATGCACATATGAACGCGCTAAGGCACACACACACATGCACAGAGAGAGAGGGAGGGAGGGAGGGAGAGAGAGAACAACAATGAAGACAGGTTGACTTTTTAACAAGAATAGCACAACTTACTCCTTACTTTCTAAAGAAGCTATTATTCTGTAATATTTAGTGCTCCAGAAAGCTTTTACCAAAGGCCTCACCTTGATGTTGAACAGTGAAAAGATTGCCTCAAGCCATATCCCTTGTATACATACCATGAAATTATCTTTAATGCCTTGTAACCCTGTTCTTGAAGTGATGGAGGAGGTTAAGATGGGGCACATAAGTGGTGTGTGTGTGTGTAGAGTTCTCTTGCTTTGAGGTTTGTGGATGAACTATCTTGTGAACGTAGTTTTGGCACATCTTCATCTAAACATCCAAATATAATCCATTTTTAAAAGATACAAAAAACCGAACGAAGGAGTAACTTTAAAACAAGAAGGTTGGACAGTGAAACCATTTCCATCCACAATTTCAGTTCCAAAAAAATCAATATTGAAGAATGTTTACCAAATTAACATGTTATATTGAAAACATGTTCTGTCTACTTACATGGTAAAAATTCACTTATTTCAAAAAAGGAAAACTACGAGTTTGATTCCTCAAGACATCATTAGAACTTCCAAAAAGTGCCTAACTTTTGGTTTTCCTAAACTTACCCCTTCGATATTGATAAATTTAGAAAAGCATTTTCTTTTCTTTATTTTTTTCTAATTTGGTAATACTAGATTTAGAAAGACACTTCGATATTGTCTTTAAAGCACCGTATACAGTTATTTAAGTTACAAGTAAATACTACTAAAAAATAGCACATGAAAATCTTGGAGAGAAGAAAAAGATTAATTTAAAAAAAAAAAGGCTAACCCGAATTACTACATACTTAGCTTTAATTTTATCAAGTAATTAAAAACTACAACTTTCCCCAAATCCAAATTGAAGATAGCATCGTGTAGAGAGATACAACAAATTTTCCCAAAGTTATAGCTTGTAGTAGAGTAGTAATCTAGCTGAATCCACACACAAACACGATATGTTTGGACCTTTCCAAATCCCTTGCAAGATAGGCCCACTTCATGTCAATAATGCAAAAACAACCAATGCATGACCATATTATGAGGAAAAGAAAGTAATATATGAGTAAGTACTCTGTTGTCCAACGGAGAAGACGCCGTTGAATGATTAACATCCAGAAGGTGATTTCCAGCATTGACCGCTCCATTCCTATTAACGAGGACTACCACGTCTGCTGCGGCTGCCGACTCATTATCTGATTTTTGTCGATCCATATCTGAGAATGACATGACTCTGTTTCTCGACCTTCGCCTGCGGATTCTTCACCGACTCGCCCAGTATCTCTCTGAAAGTTTGGGGCGGCGTAAGGTAGTAGGTAGAGAATCCCGGCTTCGATAGAAGTCTGCTCAGTGCGATGGAACTGCTACGCATGTAGCGCATGGCTTATATAGGATTTGAGAGTCTTTTGCTGTCAGTCCGAGAATAGGACTCTATAGTTAAAAATTCTTCTTAAAATTTGATTACTAAACTTTCCAAATTAATCATTCAATTTTAAAATTTGATGCATATTGATCACTAAATTTTAATTTGTTCCATACTAATCACCGAACTATAAAATTTGTTTGCGACGATTATATTACACACAACTAAATTTTTCAAAATATATTTTTTCTCTCTCTTATTTTCAACCATACATCTTTCAATAAAATAATATTACACGTAAAGTCAAAAAAATTTCTTATTTTTTAATTACACACTCGTCAATAAATTCCAAAACGTATTTTGGAGGAAAAAAAGGGTCAAACATGCGCGGTAAAAATTCGCTCTTATCCTTTAAGTCGGGTCTTGAAGTAAAATTTTAAATTACTTGCTCACTACAAAAATAATGATTTGTGAGAATTTGTTATAAACTAGCTTTTGACTTGATTAATGTGGAGTGTGCATTATTTCCAAAGTGATTGGCTGGGAGAGAATGGTGGCTTCAACTTTTTTGTTTGATGACATTGTGAGAAGTGGTTGGTGTAAACCAAGTGTCACAGCCCACTCACAACATAGGTGGTGGCCACGATAATAAAATAATCGTGGCCCCCCACACTTGTGAGAGGGAGGTGTACAAGATTGTACACCAATGGTGTACACCCAACTTTTTCCTAATATTGTGCATAGGTTTCGTTAAGTCTTCCTGGTTGAGATTACAATTATTAACAATAATACTACAATGTCGTTTTCTTTTGTTTTGTTTCTTACTTTCTTTTTCTTGTTTTAGGGTAAATTTTAATGAAGGTCCCAACATTAAGAAAAGTCTCAAAATTTCAATGTTCTAAAAAATGTGAAAAAGTGCCGCTTAGGCGCGTTTAGGAGCGACGCGTGACCAAAAAGCGTCGAATTTGGGAAATGCGGGAAAAATGCGTTTTCCAACTAAAAGGCGCGCCTATGCGCGCATTAGGCGCTCATT